AATCACTTATGACTAAATTGTGTCCCTTCATCCGCCTCCTGGAAGTGAAGCCAGTCTTCGTTGAACAGCCAAGAGCATTGACAGAAATCACTTATGACTAAATTGTGTCCCTTCATCCGCCTCCTGGAAGTGAAGCCAGTCTTCGTTGAACAGCCAAGAAGCATTGTACAGCTGTTTCACCTCATGAGGAATCACCATTAGTTCCAAACTCAAGAAACTTCAAGGGATCTGGAAACGGCGACCTGTCGGTCAGTAGTCTGAATATTTCACCGGTTGGTCACGGACGGCTTGCCTGAAGGGTGATTATCTTCCACTTAGGATATAGCACCACTCATCCTTCAGGAAAAACTGCGAAACACGTGACTGCTTATCGACTGGTTCTTTCAGTGACGGCTTCTCGGACGGAAGTTCCATTCATCTTGCAAGCTTATTCTACCGCTGATCTACCTATGGAGGGAAGTGTGAGGCGAGTTAAGATGTCGCTGGATGTATGAGTTACGCAATGCCAAGGAATCCAGTAGAGAAAAGACAGCTGTAAAATAATTCATTAACATGAAGGAATTTTCATTGCAAGTCAAAGTATCACCCTGTTCAGTCTCCCGGTAGCAGCCTATTAACTGTCGTCAGATAGAGCGCATCCCTTTTCGAGGAGCTATTGCCGTAAACCTCTGGAAAATTGCTCTCGAAGGTAACAGTTCCTCGGGGGACAGACAAAGCGTCTGTTGACATATACTACAATATTTTCATGCGAATGACGGGAAACCAAGCACAGAAAAATTTGATCATCCTGTGAATTAGTTCGTCAGATGTTCGCGTCTAGTTCTTGAGGCTGCACTATAGGAGTGCAAATGATTCCCTGATACCGCGTTCTATTTAACTCTGTTCTACATAAATCGCACTAATTCTACGGCGCGCTCGAACTCAGGTATACATTTCTTAGCCTCTGTGCGTTGGTTAAAGTAAACGAAGTCGTCAGCATAACGTCCTTCCTATGTCAGTCTCTTCTGAGTTACCAAAACGCGGCACCATTTCACCAGCCCCTCTAGTTTGCTTTGTGTACCTACGCCAGAAAACAAAACGACCAACACTCCTCCGCGATTTTCAGCTGCGCTGAGTATGCTATTCGGCATGAAGCTGTAATACCCTCTTCGCTTTCATCGTTGTACGACCGACGAATCCTCGATTAAAACATAGGGAAATAGTAGCAATAATACTGGAAAAAATGATTCTATTTATCATTCCACTCATCCAGGACTTTGTTGTCCCTATTGCCACGATCATCCTACGTAGCACAATATAACCTACCTAATGCTGCGTGATGGCTTAATGTTCCGAGTGATTGCATGTAGCCGACTGTATACCAAAAGGAGATACTCCCGTTCCGCATCTTTTTACCACACCGGGTTTCGACTAACAAGCCAAACTGTCTGGGCAACTTGGAAGATGGCCTGCCGCGCACAGTTTGACTGCAGAGCAAGCCTCCCCCTGAAATCAAAGTAGATTCACGGAATACGTGACACAAAGCGGAAATCCGCCAGTACTATTGAACTCATTAATTCTCATCTACAAATTTATACATGGGACGGAAGGGTCAGCTTGGACAAAAATTATCAGTGGAAAATCAGTACCCGTATCGGTTTTAGGTGCAATTTGTTCGTCAGCAGCACAAAGTCATCTGATGATCAGGTATTGTGCAACAAAGCACAGGTGAGTTTGTGATTTCTCCTTGTAGATGATATGACAAGCCACGATAGCGATGAGAAACTTGGTAGATCAGCATGTGAATTCGATCGTCGAATTAGTGTTTTCTTGTAAGCGTCCCCATATCAATCGTTAGTGCGTGGTGTGGCAGCAATCCATGGTTTAGCTACACCAGAGCAATCACATTTACTATTTCAACTCGGCCGATGGGAAGACGTTTGCAACCAATATGTCAACTTTAACGCAAAATTACACCATCATCGTCACAAATTACTTCACTACCATCTAAGGATAGTGTACAAACGGCAGGTTTAGTCAATGAGCAGGACACGGTGTTTCATGTTTGATCTTCTAGTCACTCAGTTGTAATAGCTCATCTTTATCTGTTTTTCCTTCTTTCTTGTAAACGCAACCATCATCTAATCCCGAAACCGTACATTTCATCGAGATTTAGGCGAACACTGACCTACCTAACCCTGTTTGACTAATTATCAATTTGCGTTTCGTGCTGAAAGTTGCTTCCAACAAACACGCAACACGTGTTTACGTCTTTGATATTCCTTTCTCCTTCTATCCCGCTCGTCCCTTTGTTCCGTTCCACAGCCGAAGATCCTATGAACACACCGATGACTAGCGTTTTCTGTCTGCTGCCAATCAACAGGTACAAATTTCTCGGCCAAATGCCAGAGATACGCAAGTTGCTCGAACCCTAAATGAGACGAGTTCTATCACGGATAGATCGCGCATGGAATGTTTTACACCTGATTTTCTTGTTCCCGTCTCATGGATGCGCAATTGTTGTACCTTAGCCTTTTGCCCCGCGAGTTTGGTGCATGCCAAATGAAATTCCGGGGCTGCTCACAAGTTACGTAGCAGCGGTCTGTATTTGTAATGGAATTTCTACCTTTCAGCCAATATGGTGTTTTGGGAGTCTTACTTGCGACAGACTGACCTCACCGTACAGTTGTATTCGTAGAAACTTAGTTGATCGTCATGAAGCCACCTTACTGTCATAGTAACTCGTTTGCTTTGTACACCTTTTTGTTTGGTACATCAGCCATTGCTATGTGTAAAATTATGTGTCTAGACCGAACAACACATTCATCCGCACCTAAGTTGGCACTGCTTTCCACATGAATTTTTAAAGATGGAAGATGGTCCTTCTGCAGTCTGTTTGCTTCTGGTGATTGACCAAATGGCAGTGCCTTGGCAGCGACTCATTGTACCTGCATAGTGATGGCGGGACTCAACTGAAATAATTGGAATGCGAATTCGATTGGAATGTGGATTGCAAAATTGCCAACCGGCTTGGCCAAATATGCACTCCATATTTTGGCGACTTGTACAGAAACCCATCCGCCAAGCCTAATAGCAGATTGTTTGCGATGCCGATTCGGCCAGTGAAGTGAGATTGTGTGAGCAAGTGTTTTGAATCAAACAACCATCCTACACGGTGTGTACAGTCACTGGTACATCAGGGTGTGAGACTGCATGAATAACGCGACTGTGCCCAGACCACTGTCCCCACCACCATCTTAGGGGCACGTAGTTCATGCTCTTTGGCTGACAACCTTGCACTGCACAACGGATTGGAGAGACGATTCCCAGGGTTCTGCAAAATTACTCTGGTCTTCAGGAATATTACGTGCAACCAAGATGGATCAGCTGGCAACGCTAGCCGTCTCTCTAAGCGATGCATGAATGAAGATGCTCATGTTGCACCATTCTCTTCCATCATCTATTTCGTTGTGTTTCAGCAAAAATGCTTGCTCATTCTTTGCACAGCCGGGAGACTTATAATAGCTAGGAACACGAAAGCGACCAAGGTAGAGGAGATTGTGGTACCACCGATCCCAATAGATTGACTGAAGTAAACCATCAAAAGAAGGACGCCTCAACAGCGGCCAGTCAATGTCACCCATTTAAACCCTAGAGTTTATGGAGAACCATGCACGGTGAACCAAGAGAACCCCAGGCTTCGAAGGTTTATGGCTGCATGTATTCTCTGAAGCGCCACCAAGCTTTTGGTCCGAATGCGTCCCACCAGCATTGTTCAAAGATGAGGGTGAAATCCTCAGTCAGCGCTCGTCTGAACCGTTGGCTTGCATCCGGGAAAAGTAGACTATCCCAGACAACTGAGGAGAGTCTGTGATGGTATTCATTTAAAAAAAATAGACTCGCAGAGAGTGCGGTAACCATTGGGAATAAGTTTAACCAGGGTTGTAGCGGGACTTCTGGCGTCAATTGCGATTCGTCGCCTTATGGTGGCTCATGAAACACTGAATATAGAGCCGCAAACAGGATTATGGGGTTAGGTTGATCAGATCTTCACACTGTCAGTTGATAGAACAACGCCATATCACAGTCCACAATTTTAGTATTCCTGGGCCCGGTTGTCTGACTTACAAATAACACGCTTGTCCATCAAGAAACTCCATGGAATACTGTAAACAGTTCTTGGTGTCGTCAGATTTCCGGAAATATGAGAGCAAACGGATCTGTCCAACAGCTTCCGTACACGAGACAGTGTAGGTCAGGAGTGTCCACACTATCTACTCGTGACCGGCGAGGTAATGAGGCGAATGCAAAAAAGATGTCAAAGTTCTGGTGCTCAGTTAGTCTCTGAAAAAACTTCTCGATCTGGAATCATCATTCTTGTCCTCGAAGAGAAGGCGCGGATGTTTTTGGATGAACTCACTAGTCACCCCGTCCTTTGGTATGCACCTTGCACCCACAAAGTGTAAGATCATGCTCGTGGACATTCAGTCACTTAACAGGCCACTTACAATCCAGGGAGAGGCACCCGGAGTTGTGGGGCGTTTTACGCACATTGGAAGTTGCATTAGTTCTGATTGTAGTGTGACAAATGAGGTCAATGCACGAATCTGGAAGCCCCAGGTCGCGTTTGCTAATTTGAGACACCAATGGCGTCAAATTGGTGAATCCTCGAAACACAAGGGACGTGTGCATCAGGCTACAATGCAGGCTGTTTTGTTGTATGGCCATGGGACTTCGCCTGTTCGATCAGCAGAATTGAAGTATTCAACAATCGTCGTCTCAGCACCCTAGCTCGTGTGGGTTGGTGTTGACGAATCCGTAACAAGGCAATTAGAAAGGGAGGTTTTGGTTGTGCAACGGAGATTTCAGTCAAAGATGGTATCTAACACCAAAAGTTGTGATGTTTGGACCATGTGTTGTGCTTGCCAAACCACTATTTGTCGAAGAGTGTGTTGTTTTCTGTGTCCAATTCAGAGTGACGCATGCAGAGAGATGGCAAACCTACTACCTGGCAGATAGTTATGAAGGTGATTACGAAGATTCTGTGTACTGTTAGTGGGGCTCACCTCCCAAGGTGGGGACCGCTTGATCCCTACTGCTCCCGGCTGGAGACAGTGGTGTTCTTGTTGTCAGTTTCTATCCAGGTTGCCTGAATGAAAGTCTGGAGGTGTAGGAACCTCGGAAGGATTGTGGTTGGCTAGAACTAAGTTCCCTCCCCACCCATTTTTATTTTTCCTTCACAACTAAATCATGGTTATACGGCGGCGAAGCATCAGTGCTGATGTAGTGCTCTTCACGATGATGGCGATGGATGGTGTTTGCGTCGATTGACGTAAGCCGTCTGCCTCAATAGTTTTCTCGGTATATTAAAAGTTGACACAGTTTGTAAAATATACTAGATCTTAACCTTGGCCGCACGATAAACGTCATGGACATTCAATGAATTGGTGCCAGCTGTATAAGATGCACGTTTCAGTTGACGGAAAGCATCCTTCTCGTGTAAACGACGAGGCTCATTTTGAATAGAGACAACTATCGTCCCTAATAACTCAGTTGACGATAGTGTTGAGAATCGAGCAATGAGCGACATAAAGAGTGGAATAGGAAATAATTCCGACCAACACGGGCTCAAGCTCCCTGACCTGTATCACCCGAGTGCCAATGTGATTTAACTTAATCTACGGCTTACTTGAAGATTACTGCAAGCTTCTAGCCATACTCGCAGTGATAATGGTATACAGATTCAATTTTAGTAAGATCGCACACCAGGTAGTCGGTCAGAAAGATGTAAGAAACCTAGGAATGGTCAGAAACTAATAAGCAATTTTTTCGAGCGACAAACCGGGAATATACAGTAGAAAACGATGGCACAAAAGACAGTCCTAAAGTTATTGGCCAAAAATCGTCAAATGACTGAAATGAAACACACTAACACAGTGGAACACCAATATTATGAAGGGCACAGTGATAACCGAAGTACAAAATTAACAAGTATGACTGACCACAGGTTGCCATCTGCAAGCGATTTGATTGGTCCGGGATTAACGAAGCAACAAAGTGTGTTTGGCCGCTAATAGAGGGAGTTTTCGTTCATTCGCTGACAAATATTAGCTTCTTTCAAAAACTGCCGTGTTTCGTAGCGTCACATTCTTCTCTCCATTTGAAGTCATGGTTGAAATTTTCGATTTTGAAAACCATAGTAATTGGATTGGAGTCGAGATATTGAACAGAGGTGGTGGAGCCAAACAACCGTGGGAAAGCGTCTGGAGGGGGCATTAATGCTTTAAGTTGGGTTTTACTTGGTCCATATGGCGTTTTGGGCGTCCATTGGGCTATTGACCCAATAATCAGGATTTCCAACAGTGTGAAGGCGCTCCATCGAAAAAGTGACATCTGGAGTCCAAAAGGTCCAGTTTGTGGAAGACTTTGGAACAGAACGGCGCACGTCTATGTTGGTATCACTGAGAATATGACAGTAGGCGAAGTCTGTTGACAGAGAGCAGTCAATCTTTTATATCTGAATCTCTCAAAACCAGATCAGTTAGAAGAGATGTGAATCAAGTTTTGTTAGAGATTTCATCCCCTAAGTGAAACCAAACCACACTGAAAAGCCGAGAACTGTACAGCTGTCTCATCATCGGCCATGCACACTTCACCAATCTTCTGGCAGACTCGAACTTGAGACCTTCCGGCTTGATAGTTGAAGTTTAACTCGTTCGGCCAAGAAGGGTTGATCACCAGTGTATATAAATGGCACATAGACGACATACAACGCCAGTCATTCATCACTCACAGAGTTCACACCATTTGGTCGTGTTGACCGTCCTCTTGAGTGGGGAATTCCCAAGTAGAAGGTACATGCATCGTGCGAATTATTCTTCCTTCTGAACTATTAACAGTATGATAATACTATGACAGTTTGAAATTTCAACCGAGATATTCTAACCGCCTGAAGTAAGTTCGGTGAGTGAAGGAAGGTTGACGCTATATTCCATCAAGGTGAAAGTTAATCACACTGCCGATTAGCCGTTCGTCGCCGAGCGATTTAGTCTCCGGAAGATCGCGCGTTCAAACCTCCTTGGAGTTTCTCAAGGCATGCACTGCTGATCATTCCCAATAGGGATGAAACAGCTGTACAGTACTCAAGCAAATCTCGAATGCTGTTTTGTTTTGATTACGACATAGTAGGTAGCCTAAAGATAACGATGTGAGGCATGTCGACGAGTCAGAAGGCCATACAAATCTGTCAGCATCTGCGTCTGTAATGCACATTAAAGAATAAGCTCCAAGCACCTATGATGGAATAATCATATTGCCGAAAAGCAAGCTAAAGTGCAGCAGCTGTAAAAACAATTCCGATGAGGCAAATGAATAAACCATTTGAGTAGTTAGAGTGATTCATCGAACAGTTTTGAAAGAGAATTCGCCACCAGAATCTTACTGTTGTGATCTTTTGAGCACCCAAAGTCTAGACTAAATTCGTCACTGAACGATCCAGTCGGCTAAATGATCTGTGTCCTATATATTACGGTTAAAATCGGTCCTACTCACGCTGAGGCCAAACTGAAAGAGCAGCGAAATGGTAAATCAACAGTCTGATGTCTGTCTTGATAACAAAATTTCATCACACGACGAAAACAGTAAGAAGTCTGTGGCTGAATACTACAAAAGCGGGGTGAGATATTTGAACAGGTTGTTAAACATAGTACCCTCCCCCGCAGCTGAATCAAGTCGTGTTTCCTCTGCCCTCTAATTTTCTCTGATTGTGAGGAGAGATGGCTCAAGTGGTTAGAGGGCAAATTTTTTGACTGAAAGGTTCGTGTTTCGAACCCGACTTCTGCCTCTCGACTTCCCCTGTCTAGGCTTGGGCAGCGTGGCACTATCCCAGCCCTCGTGCTTCCTTCAGGTGGCATGGCATCTAGGCACCGAAAGAGTGCTACAGTTGAACGACTACAAAAGTGGTCGCGACACAAAATAGGTTAGAAAACACTGTTGTACACAAGCAAAACATCACATTTCACACTGCTTGGAATCTCCCGCAACAAAAGTGCCAACCACAAACAGCACACGGTTTCTAGTCATTACAAAGTCAGAGATGCCAGCCAATAGTAACTACTGCTCTGATGGGTCCGGGCAATTATTACCCTATGACGCGACAGAAACAAAACAAAATTAGGTATGATGAAATGTCCAAAGAAAAATGGTTAGAAATGCTTGCACAACAAAGCTAACTGAACAGTCACACCGAACTGGCATTCCACAATCAGCACAAGACATTTGGCAATAAATCAACCAGGGAGTAGTCACGGAAACTGCAATAATTACCCCCAATGAAGTAAACTTACAAAATGTACAACCTAAAAAAGTAGCCTATCCTCACACACCAAACAAAGTGAATGAACAGCTAGTTATGGTACTTCTGCTATTTTCCTGCATCCGAACCAAATACAAACCACAAGGAAACGTAATGTCTAGCCTAACTTCACGCTGTAAAGGGGCCACAAGCTAGGCTGCTGCTGACGGCAAACGCTGTTTCGTATTCTCCAGATTTGTGGCCTTTCTTGGGAGAAAACGCTTGAGAGATACCACAATACTCAAATAAATCATTTGAATTCTAGAAGGCGAAAGAACAGGGAAATGAACATACATTGATTCTATCATATACAAGTGAGCAACATAGTGTAAATCACAGCGAAGAAATGTACAAAGAAAAAAGAACCGAAAATTAGAAAAACAGCTGATATACGAAGGAGGAAGTCAAGCGAAAAGATCATCTTCTTGAGAGTTCGAGGTTGGACTGCTTTGACTTTCACCGGGTGTAGGGATAAATTGCTTCTCTGAATCCAAATAGTCTGTCCACACTGGACGGTGTGTGACATCTTCGGCCAGCTGGGACATGACGCTTTTCCCTGGAACCCCATCAAGAAGTTCAACAGCCTCTTGTCGAAGGGCGTCTGCCCGCTCGGAAACCAGCATTTTGGCAGTCTGAATAAGCTGCAAAGCAGCACGCCGAGACAGATATGGAGACATTCGAGAGGTCAGTTCAGATGGTTGAACGGTTGCAATGTCCTTGAGTGTGCAAAACCCGCAGCTATAAAGTTGACGAGCCCGAGCCTGTGGATAAAATGGAGGAAAAGAATGGATCGACTCTTTAACAGATCAGACGTAGAGTCAATAGTAAAAATAGACTGGCAGGATGAAAAGGTAGATCGGGTAAATGGGATCTAGAAGGCATCACAACTGAACATCTCATCCAACTAGATGGAGCTGTGGACTAAACATAGGCAATGAAGCAACCGCCTTGTCTAAGTGACAAACATTCCAAAGATTTACACATGAATGTCATGGCGGTGATTAAGTGTCCTATGAATGCTACACAAAAATTACATGGAAAATGCAACCGATTGCCTATCTTATCGCATCCTCATCCCATTGTACTACCTGGCACACAGATAATACGGCAAGAACAGGGAAACTTAGACCCTCTTACGGAGCAAAGCTTGCCCATTTTCAGATGATTCTCAGACTCAACTTCGAAGCCACGCCTCCTTTGATTGCACACTCAAGCTGCCAACCTTCGACATTTGCATACATGGTTGTTAGAGGATTCAGGTGAAAGGAGCTTAACCAAAGCAAAGAAGGGGTGCATCGGCGTTACTATCAAATTCGTATGTCAGTCTCCTAGTCCTGTGACGGTAGCTACAGGCTTTGTAGGCAGAATTCAAGGTCCTGGCAAGTTGTAGCGTGCGACCAATATGATGCAGCCTTGAGGCGCTTGCTGAGTCACTGGGTCGTCCTCGATCAACGAAGTCCGATGAATGTCAGAGAGCACGTGTGTCTCGTGTCACAAAAGAAACAACCAGATCAGAAGGGAGAAACCTTTGCCATAGACTAGGATGGATCATTTCAGGATCCAACGGTTCAATGAATATGCAGTGCTATAGCTAATGATGAGTAGTTTCGAACTTTTGGGGTTTGCGTTGACAGCCATCGCAATGTGGCAGTTTGGCAGTCTCTGTAATAATTTAAACGTGCGTGAAGAAAGGAGAGAGTATGTGAGAGCCTTCAGAGAACGGAAGAGATTGTGGACAAGGGCCGCTCAGCACGCGCGAAACCTTATTATTCCAAGTGCGCACCATGCACGCACCGTCACACCTTAAGGTGTACACGATACCTTACAGTCAGACACAAACAAACACTACCTTGGAAACGTTTTCTGTGGAGCGAGACCAAGCTGGGCACGCCCTGAACATCCGTCCGACAGTAAAAATGTTTAGGAGAGAACAGGCAAACGCCGGGCTGGTGGCGATGAATGCGGGACGCAATCACTTAAATGTCCATCGTGAACCACACCAACTGAGGTTGGTGTTAGGCAGATCGAGGACGCAAGAAGGACGCGGAAAGTCTTACTACTAAGTAGTGGCCCGAGATAATAATAATTCTGACCATTCCGGTACCTACTGTGCAGCCAAAGTTAATGTCCCCTCTGTAGAGATCAAAAGTGCTCATTCAGGGAAGAAATTTTCTGTGGAACCAACTGTTCGCTCGACGGCGAACAGTGTCCCTGTGTCTCGCATTGCACGCCTCCCTGAAAAGCTTCGACATTCCATATTTAAAACGACGCTTGCGCCTGGAAACGAGAAGGTTCCCCAATTCCACCGGATGGCGTATTTTTTCAGAATTCTAGTAGGTATAGAAAAGTCAGGTAGCCTACGAGCAGGAATAGGCATACATACGCACCGGGTACGTTGGTGAATTTCCGTAACAGCAAAATAAAATGGAACAAACCTTCAGTTGCTGATAGGGTGAACAACTACCAAGATAGTTTGTGCAACGTCAAGATAAGATGGACCCCTTCAGTATATGAATTGGAATGTGTGCCTTTTGAAGATGAATAGAAACAAAAAGACCCAAAATATAACAAAAAGCAAAAACGTTCAATAAATATCATAACGTGGTAGGGAAAATTTAACTTTTTTCAGGTAGGAAATTTTACCCTAGTCAAGAAACCGATGTCAACCAAGACTCACCCGTTTTACTCCGGGGAGTTCCATTAGAGGCAGCAGTTCGCTAGAAACGCAATAGGCCAAGCGGTTGGCGAATTCAGGCAGGAGATGCGAGAATGCCCACAGTTGTTCGTCAGAGGCGTATTCACTAGACAATGCGTGTGCCAGCGAACTCGCTAGAGCGGCTGCGGAGGACAGTAACGACTGCAGCGATCCACGTGACACCTTGTATCGCTCGGCCACTCTCCATATGGGCACAGTCGTACTGGTTTGCCACAGTTCGGATAGAGCCAAAGCAACATAGAGTCGGCATAGTGGTCGTTCGTCCAGTTTCTATTAACAGACAGATATTACCATGGGTTACGGCTCAGTGAAACAAATTTCGGTTTGGATGTATGTATCCACTAGAGGGACGTAGTCTAACTCGCTTCGGCCCAATTAGGAAGGCTCTAGCCCCCGACACAGGGTGGTTTGGAAGATCAAGCATTCGATTTGAGTCTATAGCGAATAAAAATATAACTGGGATGGAACAGCGATGGCAGGGTTGTCGTGATGTATTCTTAAAGTTTGGATTTGCGCCTTCAACTCTGAACACAGGGGGCAATTATCCGCAACTTCAACATTGTTTGTCCTAGTCCGTTAAGATGTCAGCCGACAACCAGACAGAATTTTTCACTTAACATTTTTCAGCCATCACTGCATGCTCAGATGACCGCGCCCAAATCGGAGTTTATGAATTACATCAACTATGTTTATTCTCCATACGGACCGAGCTCTTTTGTGTATACAAAAAGCGACTGTGGAGAAGCACATTACGAGTATGGAGGCGTGCGATTCCAGGAACGGTTTGGTATCCATCTAATTCACAGCTTTTTCCGTTGAAACAAATGTTGCACGACTCAAGTGGCCGTATACTACTGATACTTGGGGATAACCATTTACATGTATACTAGAGGGTGGAATAGTAGCTGCTAGCTACATCAGTCATGCTTGCAATAGATGTCCCGTACATTTCATGAGCTGTCGCACTTGTTTCAAGCAACCCCTGAAGTGCACAACGACGTGCCGCGGACTGTGCAACACTTCGGGATTTACACCATTTACAGGCGATCCTTGAGGGATCTTCACAGCTGCCGGAATAAACCCCTCACCGGGCACCCTTATGTTCCTATTGAGACATGGAAAATGCCGTAAAACGTGTTTAGTTTTCGTAGCAAACAAGATCTTGGGAATAACAAAAGTACGGCGTACTCAGTAATGAAACGTGAGCTGCCGAGCTTTTCGCTAGCTTGGTATCCATTTGCTGACCCAACAAAGAGAGAGATAGCATTCCGATACAGGAATGATTGGTAGAAGGGGAACAGAAAGCTTGTCCTCTCGTACTGTGGTGTCTACCTTATGATGTGTGAGTTATTTGTCAGTGGCAAATATGATGCCAAATGGAAGTTATCACTCGACGAACCAGTCAATGTGTGATCCCGTGACATGGTTTACGTGATTGAAGAATGGTTGGCCCTATGTCCTGTCTAAGTGACAGCTAATCACACAACAGATCAGCCCTCATGGCTAACTGTTAGGCGTTCAACCACTGACTGGAAAGTCGCGGCTCCGAAACTCTGATTTTCGTGAGATGAGCATTACAGATGATTCCCAACAAGGATAAGGACAATGCTTCTCAGCGTTTCAGCATAGATGGGCTTCAATAACAGGACGGGATCTCCATTAAATACAATTGCTCAACGTTGACATTCGGAATTTTTATGAGGCTTTGTAAAACGGTCCATTATACTTTTCAAATTCACTAACAGAACACTTCATGACAACTAATGCAAGACAAAATTTTAAAATTTCAAGGATATTTGATAAGCACGTGAACCACAGTGTAACCTGACAGGCAATAAACACAATGTTATTTCCATTCAGGCACTTTTCTACGGCGCAGATTTTTGACCGGCGTAAACGCTACCGAGAGTTTTGAGAAAGTCGGAATACGGATGATTTGACAGATCACAAAGAAACAAAAACGGAACCTTATTTGGTGACTAAATCATACGGTTCTCTGTCAAATTGTCTGCGAGTTCATTACCGAGATGTCCGATAATTTAGGTCAAACGCGATGCCCCTTCACAGCGATGTATATGCATCCACAGCATCCCGTCACCAATAAATACATGGGCATTGTTCTCGGCATAAAATTAAACCCCAGATTAGTTTAGTCGTTTCTGTGCAGAGGCCCACTCAATTAACCCTGTCCATATGCACCCCATTGAGTTAGTTGCTTCCAAAGATCGCACCGTTCCTTGACTAAATATTACTTTTCCACCGTAATCAGCATTATAATCAGAGACAGCAACATCAGTGTAGACATTGATACCGAAGGGCATTAGAGTGGTTCGTTCATCAAGATTACATCAAGGCAGTGGTAACACGCTGTAGGTATAGTGAACATGCCCAACTCAAAGTGGCGGAAGCAGAGAGGTGGCCAACCCTTGACACGGAAGAGGAGTATGAAGGGGATTACGAAAAGTTTGGGTGCTGTCGGTGCTACCCGCCTATCAGGATGGGGACCGCATGATACCTACTGCGCCTGGTTGGAGACGCTCCAAGATATGGCTACCAACCGATGTCAGTGGCGATCTTGTTGTCAGTTTTTATCCAGATTGTTTGAGTGAATGCTTGGAGGTGTAGGCACCTCAGAACGACTGGAATAAGCTAGCACTAAGTCCCTTCCCCGTCCACCTTTATTCTTCTCTTCACAATAAGGCTTTCACATGAATCGTGGTTGTACGGCAGTGAAGTATCGGTGGCTAACACTGATGTGGTACCACCGATGTTGCTGATGATGACGAAGTCATCATGACGAAGTATTGAATGCTTGCTAAGTCAACTATCCGCAATACGATGAAGCCAGCCAGCGCCGCAACACCAACTAAAGTATGGAACAACGACCGCATCGGTAAAAGGAAAGACAACCAATTTCAACCCGACCAGGGAATGCGCATGTGGAGAGCAATAGAAGCTAGATAGAGATCAGCCAGGTTTTCAGACGAACAGTTCCTTGAAACAGGGTACAGCCAGGCAACTGGGGGTGAATAAATCAAATCCTTATGATATGTTGGACAGAACCAAGTTACACTGCATCGGAAACACAAAACTTGGTATACCTACAGACAAAAACATGATAGGATGTCAACATACCTTCCTGATTGGATGGCCGGTAGCTTTCCATAACAAATAACCTTCTGGAAACCCAAGGAAACTGAGAATATTAGCTTCAGCTGGAGTCAGAAGGCTAAACCGATTATAAAGCACTCCCCAATCAACTTGAATCTGCTCCACCACATCAAGTGGTGCGACCAAATACAACAAATGTAATGGTCCGCTGGTGTTCAAAGCTCGTGAAGCTAGACGCAAATCAGACAGAAGGGACCCAACTTGGTCAGTGTCGAGTCCGCCTTTGACGGTGGCACGGCCAAGCCTTGTGGCCTATCGGAAGAAAAGGAGGGTCAAAGTAAAGCACCGGTAAAAGTTCGTGTGCGAACATGATCAAGATTATCCATTACACCGTATTCTGCTTATGCACAACCCAACTTGTAACTACCGGAATGAACCAAAATGACGAGATTGTAAGAGTAGACAGCAATAACAGCCTTGCTGAGCTGTCCACTACGTCAGAGAATATTTTTATCCAATAATAAAACCTATAATTCGGCAGCCAATCGGTGGGACACTATCTGTTTGTTGATCTGTTCGCCGAGCTTGGCAGTTGGACTGCAAACCTTTCATCACCAATCGAGATATCGTCAGTGAGGGGTTGATTGAGGGTGGTGAAACGTTTGCAATCCAACTGCCAAGTTCGGCGAACAGACCAACAACCAAGCAGCCCGCCGGAGCTACGCATATTCCACAACATTGCCGGTGAGGCCCTATAACTTGCTGCCACAGCATATCCAAGTCGCTGCAACTGTACCCACTCGCAAGTCAGCAGACGCAACAATTTGCGATGACTACTTCTTGGAGGATCCTATGTACTACGCCACGACCAGACAGAGAGCGAGTGGTAAACAATGAGATAACATCAGAATAACAACCAACAGCCCATGCAGGCTATTGTCTGATTACGAAATTCATGGTTTGGGTTATACGGCCAAAAACTGTGACGACTCAACGACGCTTTGCCAATATTATAGTGTATAGTGGCCTAGACTGGAATACTTTCAACTTTGGTAAAATTGGTTGCATCTGATCTGAGGGTGTGGGACCGGATCCGTCTGATATGCAGAGTTTGCAACAATAGGAAGAAAATCTTGTATGTATAACCATTTTCAAAATCTTTTGGAGCCGATGGTGCGTCGAAAGCAACACAAGGAAAACTACTAAGCTGAACAGCTAGCATCCGAATGGATTCACCCACAAGGAGCGGGTCAACACCAAGGTCTCTAAAAATACCCGATTCTTCCTTTAAAAGATGTCACACTACTGGACATGGCCAGAATCTATAAATGTCGTCAGTAACACTTCATATGGATTTTTATGTTAAGTTTGTTTTGCTAGAATCGGGTTTAACGCTCGGCAAGTTGTGGGGCATTCTTTTATTCGAGACAATGTCAAAAATCTCTTGGATCAAGTGAGAAACAAAAGTGAAGTGATTGTACACTCTATATAACGTCATCAATTAAGAGATCGAGGGATGTGTACTTCCTGGTCATTCGGTCGTGCAGCGACCGTCACAAGTAGTCGCAATGCCAACGAAATAGTGCTAGTTAATAATAAGTCCGATGAGAAACCAATATTCCATCAGATCTACGGAAGAAGCGTCGTATCAGAAAACTTCGGACGATTAAGGAACGATCTATCTGTGGAGCTGTGTTCCAGGCGGCGGGCTTATATTTATTCTGAACCACTCGGGCTAAGATGACAAAAGAAAGATCACCGGCATCCGTGGTTAATTCACCTTGTCCCAACGGAGTCTCGATTTCACAGCGATGACTTGCATCTATCTCAGTGAGACTTGATGTACTATAAGCGACGAGGATATCAGTACTGAGTGGCAGTACCACTCAAAGGCGTTGGAAACGGCACCCTTCAGTGGACGAATAGGCAAGTGGTGATTATGTGACTGCTACTTCAAGAATGGATGTTGATCTCAAGTACCAGAAGGTATCAACTAATGCACGCAGAAGACATGTCGTTGATCTGGTTAACCTATGAGTCGAAATTACGAGATTGATGCGCTAAAAAATACCACTACCAAATCGAGTTTCTGGAAGTTTTATGCATTCATAGAGTGGATTTTCAACAATGAATGATCTGATGCACGACAGTGAATAGTTGGGCTGCGTGACAATATGCGGCTTCGAGTATGGCTCACCGGAAGAAAAACATTATTAAATCAGAATAATTAAGCCAGGACTCAGCTCAACAATACACTAAAACAAAACAATCAGGTTCAAAGGCATTGTGCTCAAAGTTTAGCTTATAGGCGCGTAGCGACGGGCTGGTGGGATCGGTTGATTCGCTGTTTCCAGGTAACATGGGCGAAACTTGGTTAATGTTCAACTACTGATTAATTGTTAGTAGCATATCGTAACGTTCCCTGTAAATTCACTAATCCGCAAGAATTTCACACAATGCTAGGTAGTGCGGAAAGTTGCTATGGCTAGAACAAGTTTAATGCACAGCTGATTACTTCACAAAAAGGCGAGGCAAACATTGTTCTTCATTGTTGAAATGTGTCATTCAGGCGTAAATCTTAGCGACTTTTTCGGAAGCTTCCCATGCATGTTTTGGTACTCATCCGTGTTTCTCTCAATTAATCCATCGTTTTATTGAAAAGTCTTGTCGTGTCCATATAATTGTCCCATCAAGATTACACAAAGTGTCCGAATCGATTTCAAGTACAGCAAATTCAATACCTGAATGCAGAGCTACAATAAGCACTGTAGGTGCTGCGTAAGCGCGCGTTATCATGTCCAAAAATAAAGACTTCACCGAAACGAGCAATAACATCTGGAGGGAGGTTACTCAACGGTGTAAGAGTCTAACGCCTATCATCCGTTGAGTATTGCAGAATGAAGCTTCGTCTTTGCAAAATTTTCCACAAACGAGAGGTGGTCAAGCTGGTTTCAACCAAAAAGACGCTTCCCTTCTTTTGAGGTCACACGAGTACCAGATGAGCTTCCCGTACGTCCAAGTTTTGTCATTCGTACTTCCAAGCGATGCGCTCCTTTGCACTGCAGTTCTTACTACTGACGTTTTGTGTTCATACAAGGGATCTACTTCACCCTCCAAGACAGACTAACAGAAGTACTGTAGCCGTGCAAAATTTATGTTAAAATTTAAAGCGCCTTTCACCTACCATAATTTCATTTGATCATATGCTAACCTCTGTATTCTGCTTCCCTTCCCAGAAATTTCCCCAATTCCGCTCGTTACTCGGCATGTAGCATCCCAATGGATCGCCAAGAAGGGTACTAAATATCGTTGCTGACCTGGACGACTAGGTTGCTTCCAACTCCTCTATTTTTATACGACAGTGTTTTCCTCTGTTCAAATTCAAACTACATACCCTATTCGAATGAATTGTCGATCAGGTCATCTCAGGACCACGTCTCAACGGTGAATACCAGTCATGAATGATAACATGACAGACAACCTCGAAAGAAGCGAATCATCGTTCCACGTAAATCCGTCCCTGAGCCTCACTCATGGGACCAGAATGCACTAAACATAGGGCATTAGGTTGTTTGGCCGTATTGACGTTTCGCATGCTCACAGAATGCTAAATGGTAGTTCCTCAGTTTTCGCATTCAACAGTTCCTGTGTTCAGTAACAGTATGGGGGGCTATGGATCTTAACGCACACTAAAACTAAAACACAGACACCGGTGGCAGAAGTGTGCGAGCCACTAGATCTCATATGTGAACACACATCAGTATAAAGGGCGGTCTCTAGATAATCAAGCGTACATAGTCTTTCGGAAAGGAATCAAGAACTCTAGCCATCCTCAACCCGACGACCCTCTGCTGATACGAATGAGCGCCCCCTGTTTCAGTGAGACAAATATGTAGGTGAAGCGCCAGGTGAGTTCGTTGTCATCAAACAGGATATTTATAAATAATCTGAACAACACGCAACTGTTGTTTTTAACAGGTGGTCAATCTGTTGCTGCTGAGGCACACTACAATGCAGTACAGACAGAAGGATGGAAGATGACTCCATCAGTCATGAATAGGAGATAGAATGCGGCAAAATCTGACAGCATATGGTACCAATAAAGCTGACCAGGCTTCGAGAAATCCAGCGCCGTCTAGGAAAACATTCCTTACAAAATTAACAAATGGGCTGAAACACGCAACCACTTCAATTTTAAAGTGAGTAAGCATACTAAAAAACCATAACAGGGTAGACAGCTATATGGATAACAAAGGGCAAATGGACATTTTATAATTGATTACCTGGAACTGTAAATTAAGAATATCACCACGAGGTAGTTTTGTTGGGGACGGACCAGACATCACATCGTCTGACATGAGCAGCAATAGATCCTTGCCAATAAGTGTCTGCAATTCCGCCCGAACCACTCTTTCAGTAACATCATTACCCGCACATTCCGCTTGAACAGCAAACAGGGTACGTTTAGCAGCAGATAAAATATCACGCATCGTTGTAGCAACCTGGGTAAAAACAAATCGAAATTCACCAGCGAGATATAAAGGTTTTCCTGGGAACTAGAGACTGATGTTTTAGAATCTTGGTTCGATTAGATTATGGGTTAACCAACCACTTTGTAGAGCTTGAAACTGAGAATGCGTGATGAAAAAACGGGAAAATCATTAAATTGAAAATGTCCCTTCCATTGGATAAAAAGATTGTCTCGATTATTAGTAAGCGACCCGGTGAAGCTAAGAGACGAACCAATTCGAATCAACATCAAAAGCACCAAATCAGCAGTAGCACCTTTTCGGTACCCAACTTCATGCCACCAGAAGGAAGCACGAGGACTAGGATAGTGCCATGTTGCCCAAACCTGGATAGCAGAGTCGAGATGAAGCAGTCGGGCTCGAACCACGGACCTTCCGGTCCATGAATCTGCGCTCTCACCGCTGAGCCACAACTATTTTAATCGAAGAAATTGCAAGTGGAAGGGGTCTATACTGAGCAACCGTGCTGAGGATTCAATGGAAAACAGAGTACGCATAACAACTCGATGGACATATCACATAATCATGACCGTGGAATTTACGCCGATTCCGATTCACTTGTTTCGAGTGAATACGTCATTGAGTAATATATCACAAGATCAATATATTTCATGCACATTCTGCCCCATTTCACCTCGACACTTTTCGATTATGCAGCAGCTAGATATTAAGTGCAGAAACGTGAGATATCTAACCAGCCAGTGCCGCATTTTACGACCAAAGGCGTTACATTCAATACAAGTGCCGTACTGGGTGAAAGCTAGGTGTTACACTGTTCAAAGTTGCTCACTCACTGAGGTATGCCTTTCAACATCATTTTAACATATCATTTTAACATCACTTTAACACATTCATAACCAATTTTCAACAGAACCGTCCGAGGCATACTACTAGTCTAGCGAATGAATGAGTTCACAATCCAAGTTTTAGGATCACCCTTTCTCTAGTCAATCGTCCTAAAATAAGGCAGTGTCGTTGATTCGTAAGGGAGGAAACTATGTTTGTGCACTTTCATTTTTCCAATAACACATTTAGGGATTATCAGGAGGGGGCGGCAGGTGGCTCAAGCGCGCATATCTTGGGACATTCTTGAAGTGGTGAACATTGAGGAAATGGATCCAAGCCGGTGGAAGCGGCGTAATTATTGCATGAGTCAAATTTCGTTACTAAGATAACAAAAGTTAGTGCTCGTGGCGTAATGGAAACCAAATATTCACCTTGTAGTTGTAAAACCACAAGAATACAGAGGAGCTGACTAGTGTAGTGACGCTGCTGCAAGACACAAACTTGTGTCTCATGGAAAATACATTGGCCAAAAAGGACTAACTTTTATCCTTACATCGCCAATTCAACATCCAAAAACTGAGAACCCCGCGCATGGTGCTGGGAGTTGATTTTCATCAAGAGAAAAGACATCATTTCCGCCATTGTGTGGGCTGCAAAACAGGGACTCGCTGAGGGTTCAGGATGTTTGCAAAATCGGCAAAAGTGAAACAAATCGGCGCACGACACAAAAGGGAGGTTGTCGTTGTCACAACTAACCTGCAATCCAACCAGGGATAACAGCAGCTGACGCATACCCTTGCCATCCTCATATAACAGGCTGCTGGTGCATAAACCATTCGAACCAGAAACGGGCACAGATGGATTACAAATTGGCGGAATGCTATCAATCATTTTGGCAAAATGAGATCGGTCGTTCGGTTGCAGGATAGTTATGCTTTCTCCAGCGCTGTCCAAGCCTGCGCGACCGGCTCGGCCGATCATCTGCTTATACTGGCTTCCGGACAGGAAGTTGTTGCCAATGTATGGTTTACGGATAATAACACTGGAGCATAGAACAAGAAACAATGAGTCAGTAAGGTGGAAAAGGTTCTGCTGTGGGAAGTAGTGAGTCTAAAATGAATCAACTGAAGCGGCGAACAGAACAGGACAAATCAGGGAGACGATTGAAGAGGGTTGGCACGATATAGTCGTTAGCCATGGAGCAGCAGAGGCAAACGTATGAAATCAGTAACCCAACCAAAGGGTTAACCTATACACTTCAGTCGTTTGGTAACACCGGTCAGTGGCGACAGATTAATGTTAAAGAGTTGATTCCCGAGAGAGCTGAGTTCTATGAGACTCAAGAGGTAAGCCATATTGTGAGGACCGATGGATCATACAGTTTCCAAGTTTGTTTTGTATTTCTGGATAGAATATAAACTTTCTGGGCAAATACTAAGGTGGTCAATTTTTCTTCAAGCATAGTGGATTTTTCTAATTTAAGACAAATATGGTGCAAAGGCATCATACCCCTGAATCTGTATCAGGCTACAGTATGGGATATTTCGTTGTCTGGTTGTGAGGTCTTTTCAAAACAATAACCGGTGTAGGCCAAAGCCACCGAATCCTCAAAGAGACAATTAGCAAACGAGTGTTTGGTTGCACAAGAGGCATGTGGTCTAGGTGATTCTCCCTGTGCACGGCTCGAGACATCGCAAGATATGGCTGCTAATCGATGTCAATGGCTTTTTCGTAAGCTTCTGTTCAGGTTGTCTGAATGAGCGTCTAGAGGTGTAGGAGCCTCAGAGTGATTGTTGCAGGCTAGCACTAGGTTCCTCACTCATCCACTTTGTCCCTTCTTCAGAGTGAGCTTTCAAATGAATTGCGATTTTACGTCAGCAAAACATTAGCTTGGACACTAACACTGTGCTGTCAATACAGATTAAATGGGCGAACCAAACGCCATGGGGAAAACACACAACTCACCGTCTGGCAGGCAAGTTAACGCCAGCCGCTAATGTAGAAGTACAACACAGAACACTTAACGTTCCCTCGCTGTAAGCCTCCTCAAGGGCAATACGCTCTTCTTGTGTTAGACCTCCGTGGTGGTAGGCAACACCCCTCGGCACAGTTACCTCCAGGACTGGACAACAAGTCCCCCATTGAGTGGTTCGTTCCTGATTCAGTGCATCACGATCAGCCAAGCTGTCGACCCGCAATTCCGTCAAGAGTTCACTTCGTCGCTGAACCAGGTTCTCCAAAGAGTCTTTATCCAACGAAGACGGGAAGCAGGCAGATGGGGGAAGTAGTTCTGCGAGCATCTTCGCCGTGTTCTCACAGTGAACTTTGGTAGGACAGAAGACTAGGCAGGAGAAACGCCTCTGCGAACGAGGCAGGGTGTCTGAGCCCCCATCTTCTACTGAATAACCTAACAGAGTTTCAGCAACCAAGCCAACCAAATGGTCCGGATCACGTGCAAGCATTTGTTTATTGTACTGTCGAGGAGAAAAGAGGAATTGATGCAGAAACATAATATAAGGCGTGCATTCAAACTGTGACAAAACACGGAAGGTTGTGCAACATTTAACTAAACTGGACTGCGCATTCCGATCAAAAGCACCTGCATAAAGAGAAATACCTGAAAGTGGACAGTTCGCTTATGTACCAATTGGTCATACAGCAATTCCTCCGGTGTATCGGTCGGTCGGCGGTTTCGAGCAGTGGTTTCAAGCAGCTCGTAAAGATGATCACCCACTTTGACGTACTGAACGAGTTGGACTGGACGGAAATTGCTCGTGTACAGTTCGGCTTTGAGAAACCGTGTGAGATCGGACATGTTTGCCAGTGTTGCACTCATTCCAATGATTCGAGTTTGAGCTAAGTATTTGTACAGAGGAGAAGGAATGAAGGTACAGCAACGTAACAGTGGACAAGGAAAAACATATTCAAACTTTTAACCGGAAGATGCAAGTGGACAGAAAATAGGAAAAGTATTCACTCACGTGAAACCACGAGCAATTTGGTCAATAAAATTTCAAGACAAGCTCCTCGAGATCCCCCTTCACCGATCATATGGAGCTGAAACGAAGCGGTACCAACAATAGATTATAATCAGAAAGTAAGGGAATTGTGGTGCCTCCTGTGTGCCAACCGTAATTAATCAGACTTAATACTGACCTTCTGACAGTGGAACGAGTAGTAACAACTGGTATCTCTACGAAATATGGGAGTTGAATTGACTACTGTTCTTTCTAGAGTATCCAAAAAAGTTAAAAAGTCATGGATTTTTTTTACTAGGAAGCAAATCAATCGGATAGCACGATGTCCACGTTTGACGGAGAACAGCCACGAGTAATTAAAGTGGTACCACGTCAAGAAGTCAACGGAATATTTTTCGTCACACAACACATTTTATAGGGGTGGCCGACTGCCTGTTTAGCTCTCCTTTAAAAACAAAACTAACAGAAACTCGGAAACCACGCGTACCTGATCGGCCAAATGAAGAACGAAACCGGCGGTGGACTACTGAAGATTTTTCAGCGAGCTTATAAGTGGTGGTACCTAGAAAAGCGTTTCAACTGAAAGCTAAACAACCCTTGAGCAACAAATTCAGTTAAAGAACGAGGTATTCAACTGAGTCTCTCATTAAGACAAAGTTTATATACAGTGAATATACAACTCCGCTGGAGGCGAGTGGGGAGCCAAGTGGGAACCGAAATTGAATCCTATTTTCGAAGACGAACGCACCTCCAAAGCATCCACTATTGACTAAAGAGTCGGTAATGAGTCAAAAATCAAAATCAGTTGCACAGGTACATTTTTGCATACAAAAAGGAAAAACGCTGAATGGTGGTCATTTACCTCATCTACGATGACCAGCCCAACATCGGCGAGGGATTTATTATCAATCAGTGAATTTACAATACTGTGCGCTTTTTCGATCGTTGCCATTAGGACCGAATGGCAACCACGTCGCTTCACGGGCGGTATCCGTCCACGACTCCCAGCATACTCTTCGACCCAAAAACCGAGCTCCAGACCCATAGTAGTTAGGGAGCGAACCTTGAGTGATGGAAATAAAAGCAAACTATTTAAAAGTTGACCACATATACGTTACATTGGACGTACGAATCTACAAATCGAATTGTCCAGCTGTAGCACCCTTCCGATGCCTAACTGCCATGCCACAAGAAGGAAGCACGAGGGCTGAGATACTGCCAGGCTGCCCCATCCTAGAGGAAGGAAGTCGAGAGGCACAGATCGGATTCGAACCACGGACCCTCCGATCAGTAAATTCGCACTCCAACCACAGAGCCATCTCGCGAACCTACACACACCACAATGATCTGTGAGAAACAGGCTTCAATGGACAACAAAAACCAACAAAATTCACCATTGGAATGTTCCAGCCAATGTATATTGAAACAATAAGTTGAGTCAGACTAGTCAGCTGCTCTATGAGCCGCCCTTTCTTATTGGCCCTGATCCACATGCTAGCGGATCCATAGTGCTTTACAAATGGGGGCTTCAAAAGTTCGCATATAGGGATAACATACTGTAGAAATGATTACCAACTCTACCCCCTTGATGCACTCGCCCTCATCAGTATCTTCTGTTTACCAACTACCTGGTCTGATACTCATAGTAGATATATGATCAGGACGTGTATTTGCGCTATAAAAAGCGCTTGTCTGTTTCGGACTCAATAATGACACCCACATATATAGGAATAAATTCGCAGCGTGTTTACGCTGCGAAAATAATGGACTGAATTTTCGTCCGTGTAACGCAAGTCTGCCCGTGCCGTGGTAACAACGGTTCCAGAATTGTACACATGACGACGTACGAGGCCCAAAAACGGTAGTCGGAAGTGACAAAAGATAAATCGGTCAGGTGCACAGAAGTCACATGTTCAGGTCTAGCTTGATATGGTTTGAGGGTATTTAACCAGATAATTATGGTTGTTCGGCTCTCCATGCGACAGGATTAGGTCATGACAGAGCCCGAGGTAGCTCAATAATTAAAGTGCGAACTTACTGACTGGAGAGTTCGCGGTTCTAATCAAATCCCGACATCTCGACTGCTGCTGTTTAGGCAGTCTCCCAGCCTTCGCGTTCTCTTCGGGTAAAATGGCGGCTAGGCACCGAAATGGTGTCAAGCAAAGGGTCGGATTTGAACATATCCCAGGGTTATGTAATTGTTGGTCAAAATGATACAAGCAAACTACACGATAGTCAAGGCAGTGGCAGGACATTCCAAACCTGTTAACAACGCGCAGTAGAACTGCAGATAGAGTGGAACATCAGTAACAACCACAAACCGCTGTCCCAGCATTCCTATCATGCCCGCACTGGTTATGTCTTCCCGAGTGGTGACAAAGTCATTGCAAGCCAGCTGCCAAGCTCGTCGACCAGATCAACAAACACATGATCAACGGTAGTTAAACGCAACCGAGCTGCCAATATTACGACAAACTGAGTCCTTGTCCCAAACAACAGGTCAGCTCCACAAGGATGCTCAGAGATGGATCGATAAACTAACCTTTTCTTGGACAATGGACACAAACGGAAGAATAAATAGTACGTTCTTTTTCCGGAGCAATAGTTCCTGCAACATTAGAATTTCGGCAACCAACGTCTTTCCACCACTTGTGGGCAAGCTGTACACCAAATTAGCCCCAGCCTTGCTGGAAGTCAATAAGAGACATTCCTTCTGCCAATCTAATGCCAGCATGACATAATCTAAATGGAATGTACATACCATAGAGTTCTGTCACTCCACGAAGTTCAGCGAAAAGTTCCCTGACACGACAAGGAAGCCCATAAAACCCACCAGGATCTTGATCACAGTGCAGTGTATCTGGGAAGCAGAGGGATTCCAGAAAGGGCTCGAAGACTTACCAACCTTCGAAACTAGTGTCTCATCAATGTACGAATTCACCAAACAGCTTAGTTTTAAATCTGATTCCGATAAGGTGGCTGAAAGTACATGTGGGTGACGAATTGGTGTGGATGAGGTTGATGAACTTTCTCTCATCGAAAATGCTAAAATATCGAAAACAACGGATAGACCACATATCTTAGGTGACTGCTTGCTCACTTTCAAATACAAGGCATGGTAACATAAAAATGTAGCTCAATTGCTTATTGATGTTTCTTGATTTGGTGACGAAACGTTTGCAAGCTGATTGCCGGGCTCGGTAGACATATCATCAACCAACTAACCAACCATGAGAGCAATGCAAGTAGCCCAGCTCTTACATTTTTAAGTGAAAGGCAGGCATCCAAACGGAGGGCACGAAAACGGCTGAGATAGGCCTTGATGGCCCGAGAGTAGACAGGACCAACAAAAAACCACGGCCAGATTCAAAGCACCGAGACTTCTTCATCCCTCCAATCAATTAAAAAATGTTTGCTACTGATTGGGTAGTCGTTTCAGAGAAGTTTGTTTACCAAATCTCTCTGAAATGATGGATTTTTTGTTTTGATTGCTGCTACTGCACAAGCGAGCACCTTTTTACTGTCATAACCCTGAAAAAGGTATAGTAGTCAGTAAGAGTAAACAGTGATCTCAAAACTAAGTAGCACATTTTATGTTCAACATACAGTAGTACCAGATATAAGCCGAACATGCAGTGCAGTGTGAGCAAAGAAAAGTACTGGCTTCAAGACATTAATTAAATGACATCCAGCTATGGCCTACCATCTCAAAAGGACTCGGTCCCCCAGAGCCACCGCTTAAATTCCTGCCAAGCCCAACTGCATGGGCGGGTGTTCGCAGTTGAAAGAAGGCTGAGAGTTGAAGTATTCGTAAAACTTAGGCTCATAGAAATGCAGTACATAGATTTGCTTATCGGGCTGAACTGGGTGGTGGCAAACATTAGTCTCGGATACCGCAATGATGTCAACAATGTATATACCCTTCTGTGGTTTAGAGGGCTTCGCAGAAATACCGCCAGCGTATAATGTTACTAGGTAACTCAGTTGTGGCGGAGTAGCCAAAATTGGCTTATCACAATATTCTTTCTCGCAACCCTGTGCTGACTGCACAGATACGGATCAAACTTACGTGCAGCCGAATACTTCGAACAACACTTATCATAGCTGCCAATCATCTTAAGACCACAGTTGATGTAGGACCCTGGACAGTGAACGTGGAACCACTACAGCCTCAGAAATTGACGATTGCGTATGTTCTCTCCAGTACCAATGAACTTCTGGTCCAGATGACTTTCCAGCCGCACTGCGCAAAGAGGGAGGTGGAATTCTCAGTCGGCGCTTGTCTGATCTGTTTGCCTGCATCTAGGAGGAGGAGACTGTCCCAGACAAATAAAGAGAGTCGGCGATAGTACTCATTTTAAAAATGGCTCTCAGAGAGTGCCGTAACCACTGGGGAATCAGCTTAACGCCGGTTGTAACGAGAACTTTGGCGTCAATTGTGATTCGTCGCCTTATGGTGGCTCGTGAAACACTGAATTTAGAGCAGCAAAGGGGAGACCGACCTGGTAGGGGTTGCGTTGACCAGATCTTCACACTCAGTCAGATGATAGGGCAATGGTATATATATAAGCGACCCACAATTTCGGTATTCCTGAATTTCTGAGGCGCATACGCCTCTGTAGACCGGTCTATTTTTCGTGGCACGCTTGCCCACTAAAAAATGCCCCGGAATTCTGTTGGCTTAATAAGCTCTTTGTATTCTCAGACTTCCGGACAGGTGAGAGTATACGGCGCGCTATCCAAAAGCTTCCACACACAAAGTGGTGTCCGTCACGGATGCGCAATCTTTCCATTCATATTTAACTTCGTGATCAATGAAATCAAGAGACGAACACTGGAAGATCTCCAAAATCCTGGTGTTCAAATAGCCTGTGACGAAAACCTTGTGGAACTATGACGACCTCGTTCTCACCTTCGAAGAGGGGGAGAAGGCGTAGGCGTTTTTGGATGAACTAACCAAAGTCATCTCGTCCTCTTTGCACTTTGCACCCACAAAGTCCAAGGTCACGCTCGTGGATATTGTCATTGATCATGCCACTTACAATCCAGGAAGAGGGACTCAAAGTTGCAGTTCCTTCTAATATCGACCTGGAAAGGTCGATATTAGAAGGAAAAGAGAACAGAAGGGCGTAATGTACGCCTTAATCCTAGTACATGGTCTGAAAATATGGAGTGAGAATTATTAATGGCGTATGCGAATGTATGGTTTATATGGTCATGACATTCTCCGCGCCTTGGAATAAGTGTACTTTGCGGCGAACTAGTGTAAAAGAAATAAAAGCTGTGGTAGTTACGTGGAATCGTTTACGCCTCTCCGTTGCGTAGATTATATGGATGGGCGCGCTACTGTCGGATAAGAATATCCAAGTGATGTACTGGATGTGCACTAGAATGGGATGAGGATGCATCATTACTAGGCAAGAGTTCAACTTCTGAGCAATCACGATTGACTTATGGTGTTGCCTGAGGATCCTCTTGTTCGGCGATATGCACTGGTTCCAGTTCTGTGTCGGATATCACGTCGTTGCTTTTAGGAGCCAAACGGCAAAAGGATATGGTTCCATGTTTGCCATCTGGACGAACTATGTGGGAGCACATGAGACGAGTTCCACTGCATCTAAAAGAGGGTCATATTTAGAGATGTGATCATTGCGTTTTAAAAGGATGGGCCCAGGGACAGTAAGCCAGGAAGAGAGATACCGTTAATTGATCGTCGTGTGAACGGCAGGAAACGTTTGTGTGGGGTATGGTTGATAGTAGTACATAACAGGGATGATACAGTGGACAGCATCAAGAAGGACAACCTTCCAATGTGTGACAGGCAAACCGCGTGATTTTAGAGCCAGGCAGATGGTCTTCCAAAGGGTACCATTAAATCGCTCAACCTGACCATTACATTGTGGATTATATGCAGCAGTGTGACCAGTGGCAACGTCTTTATCGAGCAAAAATTGTTTGAGTTCAATTAACATGAACGCAGAACGGCGATCTGAGCAGGCATATCGAACAACGAAAACAGTTAACTCAAACAACGAATCACAGTGGAAGAGGACATATCGGCGCAAGTATAAGCGGAATGGAATCGAGCATACCCGGTATCTGTTACGAGTGTTTGAAGTGAACCTTTAAAATCGACACTAAGGCGTTCAAAAGGTCGTGTGGCTTTGATAAGCTGGCCACGAAGTGTCACAGAATTTTGATTTGAGTTTGGAGCATGTGGAAAAGTTAGACGCCACACGTCGGATGCCGCTGACTGAAAAAGGAAGGTTCTCAGAACGAACAAAGTGTGTGGATCTCGTAACATCTAGATGGCATGATATGTTGTGAAGCTCTTCAAGTTTTTCTGTTCCAGCAATGTAGGCACAAAGGTTACGATATAGGGTATCAGCAACGAGATTGTCCGTTCCTGATCTATAGACGACGTCGTAGTTGTACCCTGCTAATCCGATTTTCCACCGTTCAATCTTGTCGTCCTTTATTTTACTCTTCTGTTGGTTCCCGCTGATTGTGGTTTCCAAAGGAGATAGTGGCGCCATTTGCGGATCGCCTTGACGATAGCATATGCTTCTTTTTCGACGGCAGAATGATTTTCTTCGCTTGCAGTCAAGATCCTGGAGAAAATGGAGACTGGTCGGTCACCCTGGCTTAGAAATGCACCAATAGCGATGTCGGGCGCATCAGTTTCGACGACGAGAGGATATTTTGGTCGAAAGTAACGACCATCTTATTCTCTAATTCGTGCTAAAGGTCCTCAAATGCTGTTTAGACGTTCTACGGAGGCGGAAAAGTTTGTTTTTAACCAATTGATGAATTTTGTCGGAAGACGCCAGTATTCACTGTGAATAGTAGGCAAACATACCAACGGCTCTTTGCCGCGATTTCCCGTTCGGTGGAATCAGGAGTTCTCTTATAGGACGCATGCGTTCTGGGAGACCTTGTAACCCAAGAGAGTAATCTCTTCAGTTCCAAAGCTGCTTTTTGTGTCGTTTAAAGTAATGTATTTCTTAACATGTTCATTTCTCGTTTTACCGCATACAGAGACGTTATCACCTGTTCGGCTTTGATTATATGGTTTAACGTCCGTTGGAAACACAACTCCATTTGTCACTCCAAAAGAAATGAGCCGAAACTGGTATGGGTTTCCGCCAGCTTCGAATGCTGTGAACGGCTTATCTGACTCGATTATTGGAACCAGTGTGGAACTGTAGGCGGTTAAGCGTGCGACGTTTTCAGTCATTTGATCCAGTCTTGGTAGAGGATAAGCGTTAAGTTAGGTGAATTGATTGATGGTCCGGCTGCAGTCTATCACCATACGTCTCTTGTGATTTGTATTGCGCGTTACGAATGCTTCGATTATGCCATCAGTGAGCATTTGGTCTACTTCGGTTAGTATGAATTGTTCGTCCTCTGGTATCTGACGACGAAATTTCGTGGCGATCGGTTTGCAACTCGTAGCGAAATTGGTGAATAAGGATGAAGATTCCAGTTTCGCGGATATTACTCCACATACAGTTAGGGTGCGTCTTTGGCCATCGAATGGAATTTCAACCATATCATGTAGCTTCAGAAAGTCATGTCTGAGTAGGACTCTACACCGCTCGTATGTAGCATCCTTGTACTGAATGGACGCAAGGCAATAAACTTTGGCAGAACACGAATATATCGTCGACGCCAGCGGTACAGAAAAACGAAGAGATTGAGGAGTCTCCAGCTGAACCGATGTGATATTTCGAGGTTTTGGACCGACAGACGCGTTGAAAATGTCCAATTTTTCCACATATTTTGAACACTGATTCTGTAGCGGGAAATCTTGGCTTGTGCTTGGGATTCCCACAAAAGTAACATGTTTGTCATGTAGTGGCAGAAATGGAACAAGTAACGGGTTGTCTGAATACGTATGATTGTGATTGCTTTTGCGCACGTTCGATAGCTCGTGCGGCTTCGTGGGCTTTGTCAAGGTCCATTTCGTGCCACGTTGAGTTTCTCCCGAATGGTATTCGACTGCAATCCGGTTATCAAAACATCTCGAACTGCTCG